CGTAATTATGAGTGAAAATATGAGAATAATAGAAGGTACTATTCGGGTAATACGTGTAATAAAGTCGGGTAATAAAGTGAGGTTTGGGCGTTAATAGCCTGTATGGGCACTAGGTATTATCCATATTGTGGGTGTATTTATACAAAGCCAAAATGTATGTGCATCATAATGATCTGCTCTTTACAGATCGGGGAAATGACTCCAACTAATTCCACTCGTAAGAAAAGAGGAGAGTCGTGGTCTGAGGAAACCATGAAAGCTGCCATTAATGCTGTGCAAAGAGGCCATTTGACTCAGATATATTATTTAGATAGAAGATTTAAATAGAAGATTAGATATATTTAGTTGATTACTGATCTCATTAATGTTTAAGCTTTGCACTTAATTTCAGGGCGTTAATAATTGACGCACTGTTCTGGGGCAGCATTAGCCGTCTACGTTTAATAGCGCCCACTAAGAATTTCATAATAACTTAAATTTTTATGAAAAATCCTTCATATCTTGATTTTCTATAGTTATTAAACATGTTAGAAGTGAGATATTTTGTTAAACATGATTAAGTAGAAAGTACGAGATGTGTTGGACGTGTTAGAAAATTTAAATATTGTAGATAGTATTTGTAGTTCATTTATGACAATTAGGTATAATGCTTTCTAAAAAAAACAATATAACTCTAAGTCGAAATATTTATGTTTATTATGATAAATTAATATATGGGATAAATTAATATAATTTGTAAATTAATATATGGGCGTTACTAAAAACTGTATGCTCATTAACGTTTGTTTACACATTAGGATTTTCTTCTGTTCGTGGCTGCTGTTACAAACATACATTTTCACATACACCTGACACCCAGACCCGGAACAACAATTTGTCGATCACACAAAGAGTTGTTCCGCGCGAGAATCGAACCAGCGACACGTTGCACGGCAGCCAGTTGCCCAGCCACCCCTTTGTTGGATCAGATGGTGCAATCGTTCGCTAATCACTGGAAACGTGAATATCTTGATCTCTTGCAATCCAGAGGAAAACGGAACACACTCTCAACGAGCGAACTGATTACGACGCTACCTATCTTGATGTCCCCATCAAGATGATGGTCATCGTTACTGATAACGTTGGCACTCTGTCTTGGCCCCTTGGCGTTATTGTTGAGACTAGTGATGCCCAAATTCAGTCTTGGTCTTGCAGTCTTGGTCTTGTTCTTGCGTTTTTGCAAGACCAAGACCAAGAACAAGACCGCGTATTTTTCGCAAGACCAAGACCAAGACTGACCGTGCAAGACTTGAGGAAGAACAAGACATAGCCTGCAAGACTCTTGCGTCTTGCAGCTAGGACTTAGCGCTATTTCACTGAGTAGTTAGGTGTCACAGTTCGGTGTAGGTATAGGTAGGTACGCTTAGGAATTCATTGAGACGCAAAAAACTGTATCAAAGAATGAGAAAAACTCGACCTATGTGCATTACGACTAATACCATAAACAAAGCGAATAAAAAAATATCTATTAAAATCAAACTGAGTGCATGCATAGTTATGTTTTAACCATCGGCACTTTGATAATGCGGCATCAAAGGTTTTGTACTTATTTCTCAAAAAAAATTGCCGCTTTTCGGAAGTACATGGACACGATACACGCGCCGGCGGCTTCTTTTGAAATCTAAAAGTATTGTTGCCGCCACGCCGAAATCATAGCATTTGACACTATTTGATTGCCGCCATAGGGCGTAGGTATACTCATGCAAAATAATTTCGAATTTTAAGAGTACCTACAGGTGTTCCAAAGAATAAATAAGTTTCAGAGTGTTTAGAATGAACATGAATACATTATAAGTACTGACCACGCAAGTAGTATTATGATTAGGATAAAATGGTAAGGATAGGTAGTAGATGTCATATTAATTCATTCTAGGAAGTATATATTATAATATTGATTACTTTTATGGTTTTAAACTAATTACTTAGGTACTATTATTGTACATTTAGTCATTATATTTCTTAACTTTTACAAGAAAAAATAGCAGTGTTCAAATATCACCCGTTTAATAAATATTGTAGCCACTTTTAAATATACTTTAAACTGCTGAGAGGTTATTTTCTAAAGCATCATTAGTAATTAGAAAACATAGAAATAGGTTAAGTGATGAGTCAGCCAGATGGTTACTTTGTATTAATTCTTGGTCAAAAAAAGTTGATATAAAGTATCATAACCTAATGATAAAGCTGTTGATTTGTGTTGTATTTTATTTTTTATTCAAATAAATGATAAGTCGTAAAACTCTTTAATTAAATTTCTTATAAGTTGAGGGTTCAATCTCTTTCTAGACATATAAGTATCGTTCTTTAAAATATAGTCAAGTTATTGTAATTAATTTGTTTTTTTACACGTTTTAGCAAATGTAAGCTTATAAATCATAAATGTTTATTAAGTAACAGTTAAGTACTTCCATGGAAGACGACATATAGGTCAGTTGATTTTTCGAATTTCTTATCAAATCTTCAGTTATTTATTAATCTGCTTGATTTTTACTATGGCTATGTTAATTCAAGCTCACAATATTCCAATTCTAATACGTTTTTCTAAGATTTAAAGTAAACTTTAATAAATAGTAATAGACTAATAGGTAATTGCAAGACTTGCAAGACTCTTGCTGCAAGACCAAGACCAAGACCAAGACTGGGAGCGCAAGACCAAGACCAAGACCAAGACCAGGTGTATTGGCGCAAGACCAAGACCAAGACTGGCTAAGTCTCGTCTTGTTCTTGCATTTGGGCAACACTAGTTGAGACCTATCCCGGTAAGGACGGAATCAGTAGGTTCGCTTTAGTGAAGACGGCGACAGAAATCTATAAGAGACCTGCCATCCGCCTTTGTCCCTTACCTTCGCAATGGCGCCTCTCCGGTTCCCAGCGTTTAGTTTAGTTTCCCTTTCTTTCCTCTAAACGCGATGGTTTTAAGGCCGGGGGCATGTTCGCACCGAGGGTAATCGCCACTTTATTATTTAATATTTGAACATTTTTGAGGATACCCTCACATTTTACTTTTTCTCTGTCCCCGCTTAACTGTACACTGTACGACTACTAACTGCTAGTACTGGACAACTCACGGCTGCGTCCGGTCACACGTGTGCCCGCTCTCTTACACACTTTAAAGTGCGTGCGTTCGTGCAGCGTAATGTTGTTGAATTTAAAGATTTTAATTATGCAGATATTTAGTGTATGACGTCGTATAATTGTGTATGGTAAAAAAAAATTGTGCACGCAACCATTGTGGAGAAATTCACCAAAAACTGATTCCGCTGGGCGAACGTTGTCCTGGCGGAACTTTTTTTAATCCATAGACTTTAGAAGAAAAGAGATGTATCCAAAAATTAGTGTGTAATTGTGTATGTATGAATAAAACTAGTGCATGCATAAACTTCGGAGAAATTCAAGTTTCCGCTACGCGAACGTTTGGCCATTAGCTAGTTTTCATATAAAGCGCTTACATAGAGAGCTGTAGATTTTTACATACGTTGTTTTGAATTTGTTTACATTTGTTTAAAAAACAGATTTAGAAAAAATCGTAGAGTTTAAAAGATAAAAATATAAACGTAAAATACGCTTACTAGGTCTTAGTTCTTAAAGTATGCACTTTGGGGTCTAGATTTTCACGTTTACACAAACCTTGTAAGTGTCTGCAACATGTTGCCAAGTATCAATGATGTTCCGTTAGTAATTAAATAGTTATAGGACAAATTTACCATGAATAGATCACTGTTTACAAAGCAGTCAAATATCACGACTTTCTAAATGAATTGCATGGTAAAATGTATGCCAGTAATTAGTGTATTCATTCAACTATTCACATGCAAAATTTCATGTCATTAAATTCAGTAATTAAAGAAAAACAATTATAATACTGACGAAGCATCGAAAACCTACATAACCCGACCAAGTTCTGATGGCTACAAAAAAGCCTATGGAAACACTTCTCTTGAGTGACCATTCTCTCGAGCGTCAACATTTTGTGGATTATAAAAGATGTTTTTAATGAGTTATGTATCGATATTGATGGCGAAACACGTCTGCTCCCAGTAATGTGATGAAAAATCATTGTTTCGGTTATTTATTTTTATTATTTCATCAGTAGCGGCCCGTTTCATTATCGTGTGTGTGTTTGTGCTATTTCTGGGTGTCCCCCACGAACGTTTGGCAATCTACCACCATATACCTAACTATATTAAATCGACCCAAAAATAATTGATTTGGTGCTCTGTCATTATCAATTGATGTCTGATCAATTTTAATTTGGAGAAAAATGGGATCTGGAAATAAACCTAGGGTATTAAAAATCTAATTTCATTTATTCATAATTATATTTATTTATGAAAAAAATGTCAAAAATAGTACGCGCCCCAAAAAGCAGTTAGTTATCTTAGGTTTAAAATACAAAACAACCATCACAATAATAACATCAAAAACATTAAACATGTATAAACTTAAATAAAATAATTGTTATTTAGATCACAAATAAAATGTCTCTTGAGTTTCATAATTTTTTTTTTTTGTTACTTATATATATAATTTAGTCACCAAATACAGCATGTTAGATTTACATCCTGCACTGCACCAAATACAACACCTACTGTGAAGTGAAGTAATGAGAAGAAAAGGACAAAGATTTTACAGGTGATACTTCAAACTCATAGCAGACCAGTGCTGTCAATGTATTAAATAATTTAATTGAATGGCCTTATCATTTGCATGAATTATTTTATATTATTATTTCAGTACTAAAATTGTTGAAGTGATTAGGTTATACAAGTATTTGGTGACAAAATTATTTTCGAAGACCTTATTATTTATAATAATATATATGCTTTTAAAAATAACAACAAAATAAGGAATGATTTTATTTTCACGTAACTTCCAAATACCCAAGATAACAGGAATGATATAGAAAAATGTAAATGGTCAAAAATATTTCCTTTTTTCCTTAAAAAAGGCAAATCCATAAAAATAAGATGCTCTAGCACCGTATTGTACAAATGTGACCGAATGCGTTGCATATCCCAGCCACCTTATATACGTTACATATAAGCGATTGTAGCATAGAAAAACATAACTTAATTAACAAATTTTACCCACATTACACCAAAGTGGTCAACAAATGCACTTTTGTATAATATTTATAATGGTCCCTATGCTTCATTTGTAAAAATAAAACAATTTAGTTATTGTATGTTGAAGCAGACACGTTGCCGCCGTGGCCAGTCCAATTTGTGTGTACGAATTCTCCTGGTTTAGTAACAAGCTCGTAAGTGTGCGCACCGAAATAATCCCTTTGAGCCTGTAATAATAAAAATTGGTTAAAATTGAGAAGTCATAAATATGTACGCAATAGTACGCCATTAACTAGGAAAGAAAGCATAATCAAAAACTTGATCTCTCTCTGCGTTGATAATATTCAGACCTGGAGCATATTAGCTGGGAGTACAGCAGATCTGTAGCCGTCATAGAAGGCGAGCGCAGCGGAGAAAGCCGGCGCAGGAACACCGACGAGTGCCGTCTGTGCTACCACCTGCCGCAGAGATTGCTGGGAAGCACTGATGCGCTCACAGAAGTATGGGTCCAACAGCAGGTTTGTCAGCTGAGGGTTCTTCGTGAATGCTTCCTGATGACAATGGAAAACACTCGTCAACACCATGTTAGTTACGCGTGTACATATTTCCAACATTACATTTATTAAGGACGGATACTAATAGAGTACATAATATATCCAGTTTTATTGACAAGTTTTATTTATATGAAGACCATGCCTAATATTTGCCTTTCCACCTTTTGATAAACGAAACATTAAATTTGGCTGTTTAACTGTAACTTTTTTTAAACAATCTAATACATATTTAATTTTCAATGAATATATTTTATAACCATTGAAAATTCATTAAGTAAGGCCCTTTAAGAATGTCTGTTTAGACATGTACATTTATTTAATTTTGCCTGCTTTGTGATTTGTGTGCCATTCAATGTCTGTGTTTTAAAAAGACTTTCAATCACAAATACGCAATCTTTCAAAAACAATTTTATTATAAAATATGCTTTCAATATTTTTTATCAGTCTCAGTGATATTTTATAATTACTGTAGTATTTTGAATACTAACATAAAATCATATAAGTACGTATAAAATAGGTAAGTATATCTTTAATAAAAATAGCAAGATTTTTTTCATTATTTTAATTTAAACATACCTATGCACTTATGACATTGTATCATTTGAATGTCGCAGTGGTCACGTTATCTAAGAGGTTACAGATTACATTACTCTTCATTACTTTGTATCTGAATGACATGACAACTGAAACTCATAGTATTTCCATAGGAATAATAGTTACGATCCATGATGTTGATTAGAACATTCCTAAGGACATTAAAAGTAGTTTCAATACTTAGCATAGTCGTAGAATAGAATTAGCACATTAAAAAGGAATAGATGCTTTATCGTACTACAAATAACTGCTTGCAATTGCATAATATATAACCTGGTTATAACAAAGGAATTCAAAATAGAGAAATATGATAACATAATACAGTGGACGCAATGGAACCTTATTTTATCATAAGCAGTAAATAACCTTATTGTATTACTAGTAGATGATGGCTCTAAGAAACGTTGGCTTTAAAAGATCATCGGAAACAAAAGTTAACATTTGTGTAATCTACTTAGATTGTAACTATAAATCATAAATATTTGTTAAGAGTGGACTTTTGTTTTCTTACCTTGATGTTGCCAAGGAACGCGCTTCTGATAATACAGCCACCACGCCACATGAGAGCTATGCTGCCGTAGTTTAAGTTCCATTGATTCGCCTGTGAGCACATAAACATAATTATTGTAGTAAAAATATTCACAAACATATCCCAGTTAGATACTACACTATAATGTATATCATACTACATTTCAGATGTTGTGTATATGATGTATGTGTGATTATATATATTACGTTTTGTACAAAAATGGAACACTGAAACGACACGTGACATTTAGTAAGAGTACAATCAAACTAGCTAAACGAGGGCTGTACTCTGATTACTCTCCCATCTATGTCTAATGTAAAAAGTAATTTATTTACTTTAATAAATTAGAATGCGTTTTTGTACTACATCATAGCTACTAATCTAATGTAATCGTGGATATATCACTGTATGTAACCATTACTCACAATGATGCTATCATGTAATAATCTTATTTCTTGCAATGTCACAGCAAGGAACTGCGTCACTTATCGCATCTCATCAAGATTATTGTTGAAGTAATGCTAATGTATCAGCAACTATTATATTTCAATAAAGAAATGTATTCGTCACGTAATTTTCCCTATAATCTGCTGACAAAGATGAGATTCACTTTAAAAACAATCGTATTTATTTTCTATACTAACTGACTCTAATCTTGAGAATTAGAAATCCTACCAAAAAAGAAGTTGGGACATTTTTAAAGGTTGTGTGAAAGCAAGACAAACCTTGGCTGCCTCACGGAGTAGCATAAAGCCTTGCGCGTACGATATTAACTTGCTGGCATAAAGAGCTTTACGCAGATGTTCCAGGAACTGCTTCTTATCTCCGCTGAATTTGGTAGCAGAACCAGGCAACACCTTGCTTGCCTTAACTCTCTCATCTAGATATTTACAACAATACACTGTCATTAATGTCAATCTATAATGTATTTGAAAATATATATATCATGTAACAACATGTAATTTAAAACAGTAAATTTATTTGAAACAAATTTCATTTTGTCAACTCAATCTCGTCGTGGAAATGTTTCGCCGAGAAAACAAAATTAATATGTTAATTGTTAATTCAAATTTGTATAAATTGAAGGATTAATATGATCAATATATATACTTTGGTTATGATACCGAAATATTTTTTATTAAATAACTATAATCATAAGTTGTTTGTACAAGTAGTAAAATTAAATTATTATTTAAGAATATGGCAGTACTAATCAGTATGTTGATATTTTCACCCACCTTTAAGAGCAGAAAGACAGCGAGCGAACACTGCCTCGCCAATGAGAGTGACAGGTACACCATACTCTAAGGCAGCAATACCTGTCCACTTTCCTGTACCCTTCTGTCCTGCTGTGTCACGAATCTTCGGCAGTAAATATTTACCTGTAAATATGTGGTATAATTATTTAATTAAGCGTTAAGGGACTTGCCTGGTGTATATGTATATTTTTATTATTAGTAAAAGAATAAAGAAATTTTTTGAATTACAATATTTTTTAGAAGCATACAGTTATATAGCAAAGTGGAATGAGATATTTTTTCAAAAGTATATGTAGTAATAAGTAGTTTTTGCCATATGCCATAACAAACCTCTTTCTTTATTTATTTGTGACTTCATGCAAATAAAATGTACACAAGGCGGATTAAATGCTTTAAGCATTCTCTGCCAGTCTGAGCAGTCTGAACTTACCATCCGAATCCTTGAATTTTAAGATATCTCTTGATATCTCAATAAGGAATGAATCTAACTCTCCTTTGTTCCATTCTTCAAATACCTCAGCCATTTCGCCTTGCTCCATACCTTTAAATTAATACAATATTATAGATGACATGAATAATTATATTGTTCTTCAAAGTCAAAGTTATTTATTGCAAACATAGGTAACAAGTATATTGTTCTTGTTGTCTTACACACATATTATGCGCTGCTGTGGGTCAGTTCAATGTTATTAATATTCGATTTATTATTCCACTTTAATTAATATTAAACAGTACCTAGGACATCTTTCATCAGGTTGTAAGCTTCACAAATAAGCTGCATGTCACCATACTCGATACCATTGTGGACCATTTTGACGAAATGTCCAGCACCGTCTTCACCCACCCAATCACAACATGGCTCATTATTGGCTTTCGCGCATATGGCCTGAAACATTCGTTATATTATTGTTCTGAACTTTGTATTATTGAACTAAGTATAACTGAATATTAAAGTAACCTAATAAGTAAACTGAATATTAAAGTTAACTGAATATTAAAGTACCCTCGTTAGAAAACTATGGTAATTATAATTATGATAATGGGTCTAGTTTTAGTAATGAACTTGTTATAGTTGTAAAAAAATATCGAGTTGTAATTTTCACAATAAACAATTGTTCTGGTCATTGAAAGGTATTTAAAAATAAATAACAATATAAAGTCATTAGCAGAGTAGTAAAAGACAATTATGTAATGGCTAAAAAGAAGCATGTAATGAAATAACAATGTATTAACAAAAGGATATACCTGGAATATTGGTTTAACATGGGGCCAAGCAGCAGTGTGGCCTCCAGGCATAAGAGAAGGTCCATATCGAGCCCCATCTTCACCACCACTTACCTGAACACAAAAATGATTTTACAGATGAAGGAAATATAGAATTAAGGATTTAAACAATCTTAACGAAATTGTCCTTCTTTAATTCAAATTTCATGTTTCTTATTAGACTTCTCTTCTAATAACCTGTTTTATAGTAGTTTCAATTAGAAAATTACAAAACTACTGTGATTCGATCAGATTTCGCTAACATGGTTACAAAAAACAGACATTACAAACATTTTAACCTTGATTTGTTTATATACTTAAGACACAATTAGATTCAGTACTACATTCAATTAAAGAATAAAGAAACTTTTTACAAGCAACACATAGCTCTGACACAACTTACATCAAAAAATATATACAATCCAAAATATACTTACACCCATTCCCATATAAAGGATGCCAGATGAGGCAAGTTCTTTGCACCAACGCTGTGTGTCTATATACTGTGAGTTGCCACCATCAATAATAATGTCACCTTTGTCAAGAAGAGGAATTAGCTTTCGAACAAACTCATCAACGGCTGATCCAGCTGAAAAACAAACCCATACATCTGTTATTCCTTCAGTTCATGTTTTGGATATGAAAAGTATTGTATTTTGATTTAATCATGTGAACCAACCTTTGTGACTCTTTTAATAATATTTAAATAGTATTGCAAGTAAGACTGTCAAGAAAGTTTTCTTCAAAATGAGAGGCTTGGGAAGTTAACTATTGATTTGAAGTTAACTATACAACTTATTCATATTATAAGTGAAAAACTTTAAATATAAAGTATACAATACTGTGAGTAAATAAGTTATTAAATTAAAAAGAATAATTGCATCACCTTTTACAAGTAACATAACTTTTCTTGGTTTCTTGAGTTTGGCCACCATGTCTTCCAGTGAGGTTGCCCCAATAATTTTAGTCCCCTTGGCTTCATTTTTGAGGAATTCTTCCACCTTAAATGTAATTATATCATTATATATTAATGAGTATGTTAATTATTACAAAACTGAACAATCATCAACATATACAATATACACATGTATAGCAAGATAAACTATTTAGTTAATTTAGTTGTTCATTAAAGTAGTAGGAGTAAAGGAAAAGTGAGTAATCTTTAGTTTTTTAGCAGTAATTACCTTACCTTGGCTACAGTTCTATTGAAAGCACATACAATAAATCCCTTGCTGTCCATGTTCAGAATCAAATTTTGTCCCATAACTGCTAGCCCAATAAGGGCAATGTCTGCTTTAGCCCTGAAAAAAAAATCATATTGATATCTACCATCTGACATACATAATGTCTGTTGTATCTAATTAGTAACCCACTGTGACCAGTACATACATAATGAAAGTCATGTATGTTCACCTTCAAATAACCTTGTGGCCACACTTGAAAACCTCAGTTACCAACACTTTAGTAATCAGCAAAGATAAGTTCTAAGTGTAGTAGATTCTCGTATTAAATTGTATAATAGTTTTTGTAACCATTTCTATAATTATATAGTAAGGATACAGGGACCATTGACAACATTTCGAATGATAAACTATATTTCTACAGATATCACAATTTCAACTCGAAATGTAACAAACGTTTTCAAACATAATTTTTCTTCGCGTATGTTTTTATACAACATATTTTTTTTGTGTAGAATTTGTTGCCGAAAAACTTAACCTTAAGCAAAAAGTAAATCGATCGAGGTCTCGAGGAAAGTCAATAACAAGGTCAAAAAGTTAGAATCAATCAATAAAATTGATAAGTATACTTTTTTAGTTATCTTTATAAAATGCACCAACTATGTTAAATATTAAATTAATAACTCAACTAGAAATCCAAGTCATGCTTATAATTTCCAGATCGAAAGAACCCGAGATACTTACTGTGCCATGCTTGTAAGATTATTTTGTTTAATAGTGATGAGTTTTTTCAGATAGTTATTTTTGGCGTGCTTTTCTGTAAAATAAAGTAAGTAACTTTTGAACTAATTTTTACAGTAAAAGGAAATAAGCAAACAAGAATTAACACGACTGACTTCTGCTCAACTTCTTTGACAAATGAATCAAAGAGTATGTAACCACTACGTTTAAGAGACGGGACTCCCTTATAAGCCAGTGGAATCAATTTACACGGCACTCTAATACCTACATTGCAATAAATAAAAGATGTCAGCCGTCAAAATCAATAGTACCAACCTAAAAGACCAAATAGTTCTGTGGTAGCTGTATACTAGGTTTAGTATCGATATCGATAATATTTATAGGGTAGAAATCGAGGTCATATTACTTTTTTAATTCTTAGTTTCGAACTAAAGTTCGGATTTGAAATAAAACATTGTGCTATATTAATAACTAAAAAATATATTTCTGTAATAATATTCAAATTCATGTTATACGGACGGTGTGTTAAGGACCTAACTAAAATTATTTAAATTAAGTGGACTCTAATACTTAATACATATATTGGTTCAGTAAATTGGTTCTATGGGCACATACACTAAATCTTCTTTGCCAACAACTTTCACCCACTGCCGGCACCTGAAAAATGGAAAAAATCAAAATGGACAGTCCCTGACATGAATAACTCTAAATTGTGTAAACAGCTGGCGTTCCTTATATAATAAATGCATAAATTTTACGAATACAGTATACATAAATTTTTATCTACGTTTAATCATTAATTTCTTAAAATCTACTGGGTTGTCGTGTCACAACTTTGTTCAACAACATCTAATAACATCATTACTTCTTTGGTGTGGTCTGGAAAGTAAATCACGAAAGAATAAATAAATCAAGGGATCTTTGGAGTTTAGCCCACACATAAGTCTGTGACTATCGATACTTGAGGTACATCACTAGTAGGTACACAATAAGTACATGAAAATCAATTTACATGTATTTGTAGCCTTTTATACTTAGAATTAAATAAAATTATATCATTTAATGCTTACCGGTCCTCATCCAAAGGAAATTTCGCCATAAACATCCCTTTCTCGCCATTTTTACGACCGGATCGACCTCCGCAGATTTCACAAGTTAGAAACCGTTTTTTTGGTGGCATTTTACTTGAACACGTAACTAGTCACAGCCGTATCACTAACCACTAATTAACTAAACAAATTATACGTAAATTTATGAAATTATGAAAATAACAACATAAACTTACAAAAGCAACGACATTCAAAGTTCAAAACTTCAAACAAAATGGCCGACGGATTAGTGAAAGAAAGAGAACTGTACTGAGGGAGTGGGATGGCAATATCCGGCTACTTCCGTGTGCCATTATTTGCCGTGCCAAGTCCATACATTTTTATTTTTCTTCTAAGTTGCGCTAGGCTGAAATGAATGACTTAACGATCATGACAGCTCATTTATTAGGGTTTTAGTCTATGCTTTGTAAACCAGTTTTTTTTTAGTTATGGCATACGAGTCCTTTACGCCATTTGTAAACCAGACTGACATTTGAGTGTGACCAGTTTTTTGTCATTCTCAACACAGGGTGTAAAGCAGTGACAGATTACATTAGTAGGTACACATACCTATCATATTTAGATATCCCCTATCATCTGCCCTTGTTCTATCAAGCAAAAGCCTAATCTTGAGACTTTTTCTGAACGCAATACTGATAAGCTTTTTTACTTTAAATATTTTTAAAAAGGCATTCATTTATTTTGTGTTTGTGGTACAAATAATTGCTTGTATCATAAAACGTGCTGATGTGATAGCTTAATAAATTAGAAATAACGTGGTTTTTATTTGCGTTATTATAAACTAGCTACTCTCGCGCGGTTTCACCCGCTGCTCGGCTCCATTTAGTCGTAGCGTGATGTTTTATAGCCTATAGCACTCAGGAACATTAAAGCTATCTATTAGTGAAAGAATTTTGGAAATCCGACCCATCCAATGACTTCTCCCGCCCAGGGTAAGGCGAGAGAGAGTGGCAGACTCTTACTGACTAACCCCCCCCCCCCTCCGTTCCTTCTCCTGCTCTGGGCCGAGGTCGCGGTGCCTCATTGCGCTTACCCCGCAGCTCCAGCTGAACAATCAGCCCTATTGGGCCCCGACTGTGGTGGTCTATACAGGGTGTAAGGGACAGCCCTCCACAAATTAACAGGGTGCATTCAGCTCCTTATTCTGAATCATATTCCAGTGAAAATTCTTTCAGGAAAATTTTCAATTTTTTTTTCGTTTTTTCAGTTCCTACACCTCTATTTCAATGTATAATTACATTCTATGTATGAAGAATAACATTAATGTAAATAACACAGCTAAAACAAAAAAATACGCAATGGTTGTGTGAATTCTCTAAAGAACTACGCATGAAATCAGCTGTTCAATTTCTACCTAGCGCGAGTCGTTTGAACTCACCGCACCGCGGTCACGGCGCAGCGGCTCGGCGCCCCACCGCGCCGATCGCCGCGCCGCCGCCGTAGGTATACCTACGATCCCGTCCAACGTACAGAATAGCTGCGTCCCTTTCTGTCGATTGAACCAGTGTTGCCAACTTTTAACTTTTGTTACCTCTTCTACCTTTCTACCTTTCTACCTTTGTAAACGAAAATGTTAGAACTATCGAAATTTATCTAAAACTTGAGAACTCCTTTGCATTCATAATCACATTGATGAGATTTTCATTAATCAATTAATGAAAATCTTGTCGCGCACATAAATTGAATAAAAAATAAATAAAGATTAGTCTAGTTTTAATTTTAAAGCATTTACAAATACTACCTAATTTATTAATTGATTGTTCTTTTTAAGCGATTACTGGCTAGTTTTTAAACTACTTACAGATTTACATGGCTTCACAATAGCCATGAATTGATAGTCGAGCCAGAAATTAAACACAATCTCCCTGGAATGGAAGCACAGCTTTCTATCACACTGCACTTTTATTATTCTAAATTAACTAAACAATGAAATTAGAATTAAATTGATTTAATCAATTCATTTCTCTACAAAAAATAACAGAATGATAAATTACGACCATGCATAATTTTTTATTTTTTACCCCGAAATTTTGTACCTAATTTTCGTGTAATTGGCAACAACAGATTTATGTTTGTGTGTGTCTCATCACATGCAGTCGCCATTGTGCCTTGCTGCGATGTTACTGTTTATGTTCCGCGAGCGTGTGTTGGTACGGATCGCTCGCGCATTCGGCTTAAAAGTTTTATTATAAGTAGTGTTGTTAAGTTTTATTAGTTATGTAGTGTGTGAAGTGTAGTGAAGTTTTGTTGTAGAAATTGTGCGAAATTACTACCTAGGTACGTTTAGCGCGCGTGATTATGGGGAGATAATAATGTGTTGTATGTAGTAGTGTAGGTATCCTGACCGTCGGCATCCATCAGACTCCAGGATAATTACTGGTGACTATCAACGCTTGTTAGAAAACCAGCCCATTGTTCCCAGACAAAAAGGCGCCGGAAGACCAATACCTACGTGGATTTTGGAATTGGTTCGCTAACGTAACGAGACGCTACCACTTACCAGTGCTTTCCTATTTAAACGTAGTTTAGGTAGGTTTGGACCGCAACCGTGGCCAGCACGATCCCCAGACGTAAACCATTTGGACCCCTTTTTGTACGTAAAAGAAAAAGTGTTTGTGAGTGCGTGTGCAAGTGAGTACGAAATGCGAGACCGCATCACAAATGCTTTCCAGAGCCGGAAACCGGAGCGATTCTAAGGTACCTACGCATTTTTCTTTTTTTATCATTTATCAGTTACCATGTTATGATTGTTAGATTTTCTTTTGTTAGTAATGCGGCTATCTTGTAAATAATAGTTTATTGTTATTAAAACGTGGCGCGAGCGCGACCGTTTGTCCGAAAGGTAAGGTCGCGGCGCTGCCCATAGTGTAAAGTAATAATACTAAAAGCGCTGCCGTTCGCTGCGTGCGTTTGCGGTGGTAGCGATACATTGCGTGTAAGGTAATGAAACAAATCGGTTTAATTGGATTCCCATAACGTTCCTGAAATAATTTCATGTACCGGTCAACTTAAGACGATATACTGAATCCACCCTATCAGTTTGCGGAAGGCTGTCCCTTACACCCTGTATAGTCTTTGAAGCGCGCGCGGAACGCTACACGCCGTACATTCTTGTCGCCGTATATACAGTATGTATATTTAAACGAGGGACGTTCAAATATACATACTGTATATACGGCAAATTCAAACCCCCAATACTTTATGCATAGACTACACCAATAAACATATAAACAATAAAAAAAAACCCTGATTAATGACGAGCAAAACCGATCCAAAAACTTTGTAAAAATTTCGCAACGTATCGACACCCTAGCGCTTATCGCAGAACATATGCGCGGTCAATGACCGACGCCGACGTAGGTATAAATGCATTTCCCTTTCATACTTTAAATCTGGCTTAGGACAGGCAAAAATATCTAGGTACACCAAATAAATAAACATTCTGCAATTCAAATTTTCATATGACGTGATGTGCCATCGTATTTAAAAAAATAATGTTTTGGTACTCACGTACGCGCGCACTTGATAGTCCGCGGGCGCTCCGTCAGGTTAATGGTACAAGTTCCGGTAGATATTTAAAGGCTCTTCTTCCAGATTCTCACTCACTACATTAATTTAAAATAATACATTATTAAGGTCTAGCAAACACTGTCCCAAAAGTAGCTGAACAACATAAGCGTCAAAAGTATATTAACACGGGGCAACATTAAAAATATACTTTGTTAACCTAATTTTGTCTTTACCGCTGTTTAGTGACTTTTGATACAATGATGTTCAGCGACATTTGGATTGATGGTGTACAGCGACTTTAGGAATACTATAGTGCACAGATACTTTTGAAATAGTCGTGTGTAACGAATTTTGTAAATTTCTGGTGTACAGGCTATTTTGTTTCCTAGTTGCGACTATAACTTATAGTGTTTTATTGTGTACAGGTGTTTTGGTAAGTTGATTCTGTTCATCGACTTTTGGAGCTGACTGTACATTTCTCTGTACACATTAATGTCAGCTAGCACACGATCATTTGATAGCGCGTAGGCACGAACCATATCCTAATATTCTTCATTTGAATACTGGGACGACATTATTGCACTTCACACATTACCTAACACTAGAAAATGTACTTTACGTAAATTTGGTAAACGGGGATGTTTACGCAATGCGGAAGCGGCGGCGCGTTCGCATAGACTGACGGTCAGCGGAGCGGGGGCGCGGGCAGGGTGCGTGCGAGCCGATACCTACAATCTACAATCATGTTTGGCACAGTCGGCGACATAACAAAGGCAAGGGGCGGGGCTTGCGCGCTCGCTTCCTTAGCGACAGGAGCGGCACATGTTTGGTGCGGAATTATGTAGGCATTTTACTATCTCCGAGTTCGCTTTGCGCTCTGTGTTCATGAACACTGTATTTTATTGGACAATTAGATCAAAAATTAAGGTCATAGTTTTTTTACAAATTTGGGACGAAAATCGAATACTGACCACCCTCCTTCAATGAGTCCGTCGTTCAAATTGACATACACATAATATATATACACTGTACATTCGGCTACTCTGTGATTTCTACATTTAGCGTTTAATCTTTCGAAAGCGATTAAAAGTGAAGCGCGAAGCATTATTCTTAACGTCAAAGCCTTTTTTGAAGAAAAAGCTGGGGTGGAGGCTCTGATTACTCCATTTTCAATCAAGTAAACAAACGAATTTCTTTGGCTACAGGTGAGTGTTGTCTACTGTGTTTGTAAATTACCCAATATTTTTTCATTTATTATTTTTTAATATGAGCTTGGCTTGCCTTGGCTTCGGCTTAGCAAAATTCCGACACCACTTCATTTCTGCGTTCTTCTTACGCAAGCCGATTAAACAATAGTTACTCATAGTTACATATTTCAGGTATATGTAAATACTTCAATAACTTTGTCCATATTTCAGGTGTGACTCAAGAGCTAATTACAAGAATAGATAAAGAAAAACATGACGCAGCAGAAGTTGCTACAAAAAATCAAACAGCAAACTTCTGTTTTGTTTACCCTCGCATAAATTGTTAAAGAATGCCCGTGCCTTAGTAGTAGATTGATGATGATGAAACTTGTTTTATTCCATCTTTTAACTTAATCATTTCCTAGGATACATCTTGTTTACGCAAGAACACCTACTAAAAAACATATAGCAGTAAGTCGTCTAGCCACGTATTATTGCAGCACACATTATTTTATTTTAACATCGTTTTACTTTTTACATTTCAGTCAAAAGTCATTTTCTTTTATTATCTTCTTGTGTGAGATTATTGAATTTTGTTTGGTTAGGGTGAGTACTAAATTTTTTATGTTAAGCTATCTGCAAAATCTGAATGAATTTGCTTTTTTTACTTAACATTTATTTGGAAGTTATTAATTTTTTGTCTACTTTGAAACATTTAGTTTGTAGCCGGGATACCTAAATAATATCAATTGAATGCCAGAGTAAAAGCTAATGTATCTATCTACTTCCAATAAATGTTTTGTTTTTGAGGACTATTTAGTAGTTTTATTAGCATTTTATTATTATGAAACCATTTAGGTATTGTTTGTATAATAAAATATGTTTACATTGTTTCTTATCTGACATACCCAATTATGGGTAAATTTTATTAATTTGCAACACTAAAGCGACGGTGTTGCCACCACTCAGTTCATAGATAAGTTGGTACGACTGTAGTACTGTACCTACACAGGTACAAGTACAACTCAATTTTAGTCAATATGGTTGTAATTGTAAGAGTACTAGTTGTGTAGATATGATAATACAATATTACAGTACAACATCGCGACAGCACCCGAAAAAACCCTTGTAGATTAATTTTTATTAAATTAATGAATTTGGTATTTCATATTAATATTTCAGAGATTAAGATAATATCTGATATTTAGTGTCATTAAAGCCTGTTATTTAAAAAACATTTAGATAAAAATCGCTTGGTTCTTGGTTTGGATTTCCTGTTTCCGTAGCAAGAATGTCTGCTAACTTTACAGACTCAGTGAATAAGTTTGGCAAAGACGCTGCTCGGGCTGCGTGTAAGAAGTGCGGTTACGCTGGGCATCTTACATTTCAATGTAGAAACTTTATAAAGGTAAATCTATTATGTTTCACGCCCTTTAAATATACCTACTTAATTACTCTATTAGAACACCATCAATCAAATAATGTAACTGATTACATTGATAAGGCGAAAGAATTGTGGCTGGATCGTGTCATTCCATTCATTTTTGGCCACCACAATGGAAGGCAGGCATATTATTGTCTGTCTGAAACAGGGTGTCAGGATTGATCATAACAATTACAAGGAAAATTATTTGAAATAAAATCTAATCTAATCCACTTCCCAGTTTCACCTTGATGTGATGATGATGAATTCTGTGACATAGAATCTGTACCCAGGTTGTTTAGCTTAGTTTAGCACTAGTTAACTATTCTCAAAATTAATTAAGCTTTCACTTTACATCAGGTGGATCCTAATAAGGAGATAATGTTGGATGTCAGCAGTACAAGCAGTGGAACTGATGAGGAAGAGATTGCTACACCACTACAGCGACTCCAAAAAGCAGAACAGAGACAGAAGTTGCAAGAGAAACTGCAGAAAGCCAAAAGGAAGAAGAATAGCAAAAGTAAAAAGAGAAGAACATCACGGTATGTGTTCAAATTACATATAAATAATTATGGGGATAAATGTAATGACCACCATAAAATGCTTTGATACCCTTTGTTTTGTAGCAAAAATATCTACCCAACACCAGAGAAATCAAGTCTAATAAAACAATAGTACCAGCTATTTTAGTCACAACTCTAATTTAAATTGTATTTGATCACCAAATCTTAATGACCAAATTAATGTATTATTTTTGCCTAAATAAATCACTGTGATTGCCATAAAATGTAGGTTTATTATCAAATAAAGTATTATGATGCCATATTAAGTTATGATTTAATTTTCCACTCTAGTGCAGGAAAAGGCGCAGCCCCACAATAATGTTATTACATTTATTGTATCAGGCCGAACATGCATCGTTCCCCACAAGTCACAGATCAATTCCCGTTCATAAATCATCAGTGAACATTTAAAAATGTTGTTTGAGACATGTGCGAAGTCAATGCAACCCTCGACTCCATAACTTAAAAGGCCTAACCTACGGCTCGGGTGGATTCCGCCTCAGTCGTAATGACAAACTCATATCAAAATGTTCTATATTTTGCCAAGGATTTTTATTATCTATAATTATAAATCAGATAAGATATGTACTTTCTTTTTGCATGTCCTTTTAAATTGAAATCTGGTTAATAATAGGTTTTCCATTACCAATTTATTGATTTTTTGGTTAACTTAAACAGGTTAGGAAGATGTAAAAACTTTGATTATAATTTTGGTGATCATTTACTACTTTGGGATTTATTTGGACTCATTTTCTTGAATTAAATAACTTTGGTTATAAATTTTACATTAAAATGCGAGTTTCATCTTGGTGCATTTACTATTTTTGTCTGCTATTTGTTGCTATATCTGGTGGTAAGTTGAAGATAGCCAATAATTATAACAGAGTTGACAGAGTCTATTTAAAAAAAAACATAATATCTGAAATATTGCCTTTATCATCATTTATATTATCATACATATATTATTATCATATCATATTATATATAATATTGTATATTATCTCATGTGTTATATACTTAACCCTTTCACTACCAAGCTTTTGTTTTGTTTAGTTACCTTCAGCGCTACGTCACATCTATACTTCTATATCTATCTATTCTAACTTCAATACTTATATTATAAAGAGGTAAAATTTGTAAGTTTGTATGTAGGGATTAATCTCTGGAACCGCTGGACGGATTGCCAAAATTCTTTCACTGATAGATAGCTACAATGTTCCTGAGTGCTATAGGATATAAAACATCACACTACGATTAAATGGAGCTGAGCAGCGAGCGGGTGAAACCGCGCGAGAATAGCTAGTTACGTATATGTTGGGAACAGTGATGGGAACACTTAATATCGATGCAGAGTAATAAGAATAAAATCATTGTTTTATTTCAATTAATTGAAAATCACGACTTGCGTGAATGATTTGAGAAAAGTACGTATTACCTAATTAATATTTGCATTATATACCTATACAACTTTTTAGAAAAATTCAAAATCCTAGATGACTCCCAAAACGGATTCAGACGCTCAAGATCCACAACACTAGCTGTTTATAAATATGTGCAAACCGCCCTACAGCATATTAATGACAAGAAGTATGTAATTGGCGTCCTACTTGACATGACAAAGGCTTATGACAAGGTACTATATAACATACTTCTTGACAAACTACATGGCTCAGGCATTCGTGGTCCGGCGCACTCCTGGTGTAAATCTTACCTGCAAAACAGATCCCAAATAGTCCAAATAGAAAACTATGACACAAAAACAAATGAAATAAAAACAACTCGATCACAAGAAATAAAAATAACTTGTTCAATACCACAAGGTAGTGTCCTTGGATGTGTATTATTTTTAATTTATATCAATGATCTACCTAAAAGTCTAAATAAAGATCTAACCCTACTATATTTGCAGATGATATATCTATTTTAATAAAATATAATAAATCAGAATTACCTTCACCTATTTTGCAAGAAACCTTGGAATCAGTAACACGATGGCTTAACGACCACAACTTAGAGATAAACTATACTAAAACAAAAACAATGCAATTTAGATCTTACCAAACAGCCCCACTAAAAATAGACACCTCTTTTAGAAATATTACATTACAAAACGTAGACACATTTAACCTACTCGGAATAAACATAGACACTCATATAAATTGGAAAGCCCACATAGAACACATAAAATCGAAATTGTCAAAATTCACATACGCTCTTTTCCAAATTAAATGCAGCACTAATATCGAGACGGCACTGTCAGCTTACTTCGTATATGCGTCCTCCTGGTTGAGATACGGCATAATGCTGTGGGGCGACAGTGTTAACTTTCACGACCTATTCTTATTACAAAAAAAATGCGTACGAATCATAGCACAAATAGATAATCAAGATAGCTGCAGACCCTATTTTATTAAATACAATATTCTAACACTACCATCAATATATATTTATGACATATGCAAGTTTGTATTTAAAAATAAAGATAACTTTACTAAAGTAAAAGACACCCATAATGTTAATACCCGACATAAAAACAGACTGTACCTACCACCATCTAGAATTAAAATGCTTAACGAAAGTCCTTACTACATGGCAGTCAAAATATTCAATGGATTACCGAAAGACCTACAAAACGAAAGGAAAGAAATAATATTTGAGAGGAAATTAAAAAAGTTCTTAATACAAAAATGTTTCTACTCAACCAAAGAATTCTTCGAAGGAAAATAGAACACCAACATTAATGTAAAAACCCACCTCATATACACACAAACACCTACCTACTAACTCACTCAATAACAACTTTTTTTATTTTTTTTATTTATCTAATTATGAACTATTTTGTTTATTTTTTTTCTCTTATAAGCAATGTAATGTAAATTAAGTAATTTTATATTATTTTATAAGCTACAGCCCTCTTTGCAACGCCTGAAAAAGGCCGTTAAGCTGTGTCTGTTATTTTAATTTAAGATCCTTGTACCCACCTTAACATGCAAATAAAGAATTTGAATTTGAATTTGAAAAAAACATTTATTGGCTGTGCGAGTCGCGACGCGCAAGCTGCTCATGAAAAAGATTCCCGCTGTGCCCTAAAACTAGTAGTTTTTCGGTTAACTCACGTGAGAAATGCCGTTATTATTAGAAATATTTTATTTACCTACTTAATTAATAATGTAACATTGTTCAGTCTTCAATCGGTTTACTATGATGTTAACGTACGTACAGTACGTACTCAGAAGATGGGCACGTAATTCGATCTTCTGCTGGTGACGATTTTCCACGAGAAATGTCGTATTAAATAATTAAGTTTAATATTTTCATGTAAACTTCTGAGCGGATTTCCGGTTGTACAGTTTCCAGCTGAAAAGCTATTAAACATAAAGATGAAAAGAGGATTTCTTTTGCATTTAGGGTATTTTATAGTTCCACAAAATAACACGAAAAGGGCTACAACACTAGTTGCATTGAGCGATGAATGTTTCCCATGATTACATGGTGATGTATGGCGCTAAGACAACTGATAATACAGCGTGATTTATCCTTGTATCTCTTTGGCCGCACAGTGAAAATTTTATATTTCTGTCGTAAATTTTGTACATACATTTTATTGTGTACAAATACTTGTAACAGAATAACACTATGTTTTGTTTTGTAATGAAAGTACACACTTAGATTCAAATAGTGACAGTAATTTCTATATTTATTTGTTTATTCTTAGACAACCTATAAGTATTTTCAGAATTTATTTTTTTTCATCCTTAGTACTCGTAAAAACATGATTGGCGATACAGGTAAGGGGACAGTGACCACAACGTATTTAAAACTTTATAATACATAGTATTTATCATTCAAAACATTGAGAAACGTCCATAACAATAAAAATACACCCTAATTCTTCGAATTGATACATTTTAATATGAAGTTTGTGCACGATCAGTACTTTTTTTTTGTAAAATAACGTAATTATACGTGTGTGGAGATTGGGACGTAGATTTCAGAGACCGTAATATTACGGTGTGGGCGGTTAAAGGGTTAAGGAGGCAACCATATACCTACGAATAGTAACTTAGTGTAATATAATGACCCCTTATAACGGTGATTTCGATGTATATATTTATGGAGCAAAAGATAAATTGAAAAGTACTAGGTACCTATCTGTTTACTCAAAAGTGACCAATATGATGCTTTGATTGTTTATCACTTTTTAGGGCAGAGTACTACAAAAAAAACATTATTGCAATTTAACTTAGTGTCCGTTACCCAGGCTAGATGTTGTCGACAATGGTCATTTGAATCTTATACATAATTAGTTGCGCGGCTTCTGTAATTGTTGCGCACATTTTTAAATTTGTTGCGCTTATAGTTTTTTAATTATTTCACAAAAACATTTCCTGCTGGCGTAACGTTACCACAGCCAGACCTTTTTCTTTCTAATGGGAATATTTAAATAAATATTAGCTATAAAATTAGTTGTCTAGATAAAGTAAATGTTGTGCCTTATTTTGTATTTGTTCTTTCTTCGGTTGCGAAGTTATTCGAGATTTTGCTGCGGTAACGTTTTTGGTTTTGCTAGATCTTTGAAATGGTTAAGCGGATTCTTATCATATAGAATTCATATCATATATCATATAGAATTCTTATCATATTTCAAAAGATAGTACAATGTTCTGCGTTTTCGCTTTTTCGTAACCACCTAAACTTGGTCGGCTTACCACGGTCATTCACTTCCTAATGACTTTAATAGTATTATCTCATTAATTATCCAATGTATTGAGCTGAAATTTTACTGATATACAACTGATCTAAACAACTAATCACTGACATAATATTCAGTTCATATATCCAAGCCAGTGGCCAAATAACACCGCGTGTAAACGTGTAAATACTTACGGGATACTAATGAAACTTCACATACATTTGAAGGCAGTTACAAGCTTTAAAATTACGTTTGAAGTAAGTCTTTCGACTTCTTATTGGGAGTGCTGGGGCCAATTGAAGTGTTTTTCTATTTGATGAAAAAACCTTTAAAATATGCATTATTTTGGTTTTGTTATTGCACAACAAATTTAAACTAAGTCCTCGGAAGTCGTGTACAAAATATGATAAGAATCCGCTTAACCATTTCAAAGATCTAGCAAAACCAAAAACGTTACCGCAGCAAAATCTCGAATAACTTCGCAACCGAAGAAAGAACAAATACAAAATAAGGCACAACATTTACTTTATCTAGACAACTAATTTTATAGATAATATTTATTTAAATATTCCCATTAGAAAGAAAAAGGTCTGGCTGTGGTAACGTTACGCCAGCAGGAAATGTTTTTGTGAAATAATTAAAAAACTATAAGCGCAACAAATTTAAAAATGTGCGCAACAATTACAGAAGCCTCACAACTAATTATCTATAAGATTCAAATGGCCATTGTCGACAACATCTGGCCTGGGTAACGGACACTTTAACTTAAACTAAATGTGAAACAATTTAAATAATCAGACCAACATATTTTGCGATTATATGTCGCCCGCGGCTCCGCCTGCGTTGATGTCGATTCTACATATTTTTAAGATTTTCTTAAATTTTCTCTACGTAACGTACAAACCTTTTCTGGACTTCCACTTTTTTCCTTCAACGACATTTATATTACAGACTTGCAACCACTTTTACAACCACATCTGCTGTATAACCCTGCCCTACACATTTAGGGGACATTCTACAACACTCCCTCAAAGAAATACTCCCTCAAAGAAATCTATGTGTCTTGATTGTCTTCAAGTAAAAACACCTTGCTTTGTTTCCAGTATATGTATAAAGGTTAGAGGCATTTAGCACGATCAACATCGGTAACTCTGACTCTTAAAGTGTCACCAAACAGTATTATCAAATTATCACATAGCCATTTAATTATGCCTGTGCGTTGTGGTAATCCTGTAAGAAAAAACTGTATTTGATATTTCAGCAGGTAAATTGAGTTCTCAGACAAGTTGGTTGTAGTCCATGGTTCGTAGCGAGAGGAACTGGGAAGCCGTCTCCTCTTTCTGCGAAGCAGTGATGCTCGCTAAGGAGGAGGCGGAGCGCGTGAGGGAACTATCCTCCTCACGCCCCAGCCGCCGCAGTAGGCGACATTCCGTGCGTCGATCTCCGGCCACCGTAAGTGCGAGCTCCGGCCACCGTAAGTGCGAGCTCCGGCCACCGTAAGTGCGGGTCTGCGGACGGCGAGTAAGGGTTGCTCTCCTCCCGACCAGATCCAGACCCGGGCGGACAGCGCATAGCGTTCCGCGCGTGCCTCAAAGAGCCAATAGACCACTACAGACGGGGCCCTATAGGGCTGATGTTTAGCCGGGGTTGCGGGTTAAGCGCAATGAGTCAATGCGGCCTCGGCCCAGAGCAGGAGAAGGAACGGGGGGTTTTTAGTCAGTAAGAGTCTGACACTCTCGCTTTTCCTGGTCGGGAGAGGTCATTTGATGATTTTCATGAATTGGTTGTTTTCTTTAAGCTATAAATTATGTATTTATTTATTATAAGGTAGGGTCACAGCGTATGTATACAAAGTTGTTTAAAGTAATGGTTATAGGCAGTAGGTATAATGTAATATACATTAGCCAGTTACGAGCTAACCAACATTCTAAAAATTATTATTGCAGATCACCAAGCACCACCTCGACAACCTGTTCCACCTCATCAACGAGTACGTCTACGTCATCGACATCCAGCAGTGATTCAGACATTGAAAGCAGGAAAAGAAAACACAAGAAGCAGTCCAAGAACACTCAATCAAAGCGGGCCTTGGTTTAGTAAGGAACTGCTTCTTCTTTATATTTTATCCAGCAGCTTTGATAATTTACTACTGTGGTGTTGTTAATTGAACTTACAGAAACAAAAGATTATAAGACTTGCTTCTAGTCCCTTAGTTTGTAGATGATTATTAATTTATTATACAGTTGATATTAATCGTTCTCGACCAAAAAATGGGGTATTAGTCCCATTATATTAAACATGGGTTTGTTAATTCTAGTCATTTTAAGATAAATAGACAATATATTTTATTAAGTCTGTGTTGTGATATAAACGGATTTTTTTCTCTTGGTAAACAGCCTGTATTGATTTTTAAAACACGAGAATCGATATACTTTTTTGTATTTTATTATTGGTGCCCTGTAACTTCACGGCCTGCCCCAATGGATATAATGATCTCTTATTCATCATTCCATTTGTTATTGTACTCTTTATAATCATCATTATACATAATAAAACTAAGTTGATAAAATGTGCGTGCCGATGAAACTTAAGGAGTCCCAGCACGATAAAGGGGCAAGGGTTGCGAGTTAAGCGCAATGAGTCACCGCGGCCTCTGCCCAGAGCAGAAGGAACGGGGGGTTTTTAGTCAGTAAGAGTGACACTCTCTCTCGCCTTACCCTGGGCGGGAGAGGTGATTCGATGATTTTCCCCTGACATAACAAAACACATATGATAGCCATTTATAACCTCTCGAACAAGAAAGTTCCTGTTGTGTTTTTAAAGTAACAAGGGCTTTTCCAACCCTTTAACTTTGACTACAGTTGGCGCGGTGGCTGGGCAATTGGCTGCCGTGCAACGTGTCGCGGGTTCGATTCCCGCACGGAACAACTCTTTGTGTGATCTACAAATTGTTGTTCCGGGTCTGGGTGTGATGTGTAAGTATGTGAATTTGTATGTTTGTAAACGCACCCACTATACTAAAGAAAATGGTGGGGCACTACTTAAAAAAAAAACTTAGAAAGTAACTGTAGTGACCCCATCTGTTGTTGATTAGTTGAATTTCATTCATTGTGCACAATATGGACTTTAACAACAGGTTATTTTTTGTATTTATACAGATAGCCAAAATTTTTTTTTTTTTACTTTTTACGTCATAGTATTTTTATTTTATTTCATCTACCAAGTAGGTAATTTAATATCAACTCCCGAGCTAAGCTGGGCATCATAGCTAGTTTATTAAATAAAACTATGTTTTGTGTCCAGTATAAAAAAATCGTGATCTCTTACAAAAAGAGTTTTTAAAGTGTAATTGATAAAAGAAAACACATTCAAGTAGGTGTCTATAATGTAATCGCTAAATAATAATCAACATTCAACAACTGATTTACCTAAAAGTAGGAACTGAGATTTAACTTTAAATAATATAGTATAGTTTATAGGTATAATACATATGTTTCATATAAACATTAGTAACAATTGTATTTTGGTATCTTAACTACGATTTTGGGTGTTATTTGTCAGTTGATGTGATTTGTAGCTAGAACAAAAACAAACAGTAAATTAACTTCAGCTCAAAATTTATTATCATACAATATAAACAAACTCAGCCCCCTTTTTTTAGGTATTGAGGTAAACAGAAAATGTAGTACATTACTAAAGAAATTTTAATTTGATCGAGATACATTGATTCGTATATATAGCTACCTAGTTTCATTAATCGCAAGCTTCACTACTGAACAATGGGTCTCATTCAAGGTTGATTACGTAGTGGTAATACTATATCTGTAATAAGACAGAATAAGATAAGGTCTGATGAAAGGCAATAGGTATCCACCCAGTAAAGGTAGTATGTAAGTATGTTTAACACAACTTACAAAACATATGCTTTACTATGAAAAATTAGCCTTACAAAATACTTAACTCTAGCCCTTTGAAAATAGTTAAGGTATTATGTACATTTAAACAGATTCGCGAGCACCAGTTTAAAGCAGCATTAGCAATTTTTAGAATTTCTAGATACCTATCTAGAAATCATTAATAACTATATCAATTTTATAATCCATCACCCAAAAACTTTCGCATTAATAAAATATATAAATGTATGCATGCAGTGTTGATGTTAAGGATAAGGAAACTTGTAGACCTTAATTCTGAGAATTTAGAAAATAAACTTATTCAATACGTATTTGTTTTCTTTTTAATGTGTATTAAAGAGTTTATATTCAAGTATTAAATGATTGGACTTATATTACATTAATTAAAATATTTACCCACATTTTACTATCAGATTTCTGGCAAATGTTTTTCAATCCAATCCTTGATAAGTCTGACACCTTTTCTGTTCAATGAATGCCCCAATCTCTCCATTATATGGAACTCGCCTTCAACACCATATTCCTTAAGTAAATTAAATGTCTCCTTGCCCCACGATAAATCTACCAAGTCATCAATATCACCATGTATTTGAAGTAAAGGTGGCACTGTAACACAAGAATGATTTGTTGAACTTAGTTTGCTGGAATGTGAATCTAAGGATATGTTAAACAGATTTCACCAACATTTGAAGGTGGTCAAAACATCTAAAAACTGTCACTGTGTGTAAAAGTGTTAACACACATAAATCCACTGTCCACAAGTCACAGCGAATTATTTGCGTTAAAATTGAATTTAATTTTAAAAGTGTTTAGGTTTACAAACATTGTATGAGTGAATCTTATTCAGTGATTACTCTGTACAATTGTTTGTGTTTGAAAACAATTAGTTTGTGACTAAAATCCAAGAATATCATCTGATTAGAAATCTGAAGTATGATCATATCTCCGAATTCCGCAATAGGCTCAAGTGGCTCCCTATCGGTCTTCGCAGCACACTCGCATTTTATGTCTCGTCTATACCTCGTCTGTACCTCCGTGAACGTTTCTCCTTGGTCCGTCCTCCTGAAGTCCTAACCCGTTCTCATCTCAAGTCTAACCTTAAAATTGTGCCTCATAATACCGACTTCTTCTCTTATATAGGACGTATCTCCCGTCTAACATTCGTGACGCCAAATCGATTGCTCTCTTCAAAAAACAGACACTACAGATACGTTTATTTATATGTGTATTTTATTTATTGTTATTATTTTATATTATTTTTTATAATATAGTTAATTATTTTGTTGTCTCAGTTTCTTTTATAACAAATAGGTATGCAAGTATATAATACTTGCATACCTATTTGTTATCACTAGTTCTTTTTTTCTCTTCTGTTACACACTGTGTCTTATATTTTAATTATATTCCTGTCTCAAGTCTACTGGAAAAAATTCCAACAAGCATAAGTACCACCTATGTACTAATTTTATATGTGTATTGCCTCGGTACAGCTTCGCCTACAGTAGCCTGTACAGTGCCTACCGTCGTGTACGCCAAAAACAGCACAGGGGTGCTGTTTTTGTGTACATAAATTATTAAATAAATAAAATCTGTGATTAAAACTCAAAAGTGACAATCGAGTTCTTAAGCTGATGACGATGCTCCTAATTATAATACCTAAAAACCCTAATAATTATCCACCTATTGTTCTTTATGGCATACACGATGCCAGAGAACTATCAAAACTAATTGAAACAGTCACCGATAAAGACCTATTTAAACTCAAGATTCTGAACAAAACTGTCTTGCACGACTTCCATGCAATGTAGAGGAATACAAAAAAAAAATATTAGTTATTCGGTCAAATGGATTAATTGGCTATACATTTACAACGAGGATACCAAAAGCTACCGCATAGTCATCAAAAACCTCCATTACACTACACATGAAGCTATAATTGAAACTATCGAAGCTTCTGGAAACAAATTGAGAGGGAAATAATGAACGCGCGTTTTGGGCCAGACAAAAAACCAACTTCCACGTTCCTTGTTAACCTGGAACCAGGCAACCACAATCCACCAGTGAAGAATATCCTACACATATACAAACAAAAAATTAAAATGGAAGATCTTAACAAATCAAAGAATATTGTTCAATGTAAACGTTGCCAGGAATATGGACACTCAAAGACCAACTGCATGAGGCCCTTCAGATGTGTCATGTGAGGAGAAAATCGTAACACCTCTGATTGTTACAAAAAAAAAGAAACACACCTGCAAAATGCGCTTTATGGTCTTGCGATAATTATATACTACCCAGCAAATAACAAAGGTTGTCAAATTTATAAAGAGTTTGTTGCTAGGAGACAAAACTAACCCGAGGTCAAGTTAAGTCAAACCAGCCTGTTACTAGATTACCAGCTAGTTCTGTCACCGCTCCAGAACCGTGGCACCAGAAATCTACGAAAATGAAAAGATTGATCTTCTTATCCAACAAATAAGCTCCATGCTGGATGTTATCACCACGCTAGTCTGCAAACTGTCAAACTAGGTTACACTTGGCATCTTGGAACATAAATGGTCTAGCACCAAACTCTCTTGAACTGGAAACTTTCTCAACTCAAACAAGCTTGATGTATGTCTCATATTCGAGGGGCACACAACCACGAAAAGTCGTTTCAGCGATATATTGTCCACCCCGACACTCCATAAAAGACGCTATGTTCACAATGTACTTTCAGTCACTACGTAAACGATTTAGAGCCGGCGGGGACTGGAATCTGAAAGGTGTGCTTTGCAGCACACATACTGGGGATCAAGACTAAAAAGAGGTCGCGGGTTAAAAAGGGCGTCGATTCCAACCGGCTAATGCCTATTTCCACAGATGAAATGAAATACTGGCCTGCCGACACTCGAAAAACTCTTTATCACCACGTGTCACGATTGAATCTAGTCTTGACGGTTCGTCTGACTACACTCCGGTAATGCTAATGATAAGTACAATGATCATAAATCGTGAGAAAGAAAATGACAACCTGTACAATGCAAAAACAAACTGGGACGAGTTCCGAAATTATCTGGAATCCAACAAGTCTAAACTGTCCATTAAAATTCCTGCAGATATTGATCAGGCGTGTTTATATATCACAAATTTAATCCAGGTGGCAGCCTGGAATAATACTCGTAGCATACCAATATGTGTCGCAATCCGAAAAAAAATTATCGTGAAAACGTAGAATGCGTAGAGTATGGCGGAGGATTCCCTTTCGCAACAGAGAAGGAAAGACTCGACTTAACTGTGCCTCAGAATTAAAGATAGCAGTTGCAGAAGCAGCAAACGAATCTCTTAAGAGCAAACTAGAAATGCTGTCCTCAAATTCAAGCGGTCACCGTTCTCTTTCGAAGGCCACAAAGTCAATGAGTCAACCCCAACAATGCGTTCCTCCATTCAAATCAGGCAACTCTTGGGCACACACTGCAGAAATATATTCAAGCCCAACGAAAGTAATGGCCCCGGTGACCCAGAAATAGAAGCATTTCTAAATCGAGAGTCCCAACCTAAAGTTTCTTTGCGACCAACATCTCCAAGAGAGCTTGCCAACCTGGCAGTGAATAAGGCCTCTGGGTTTGACCAATCACACCAAGGATACTGAAGAAGTTGCCAAGAAAGAACATTGTCTTCCTAACTAATCTCTTAAATACTACTCAAAGAGTTTTCTACTTTCCGTATCTGTTAAAAAATATCACAGATAGTGATGATCCCTAAACACGGTAAACCTATCAATGAGGTGACCTCATACCGACAGATAAGTCTCACACCATTGTTATTGAAATTACGGTTAAGACACATCTCGACGAAAACGATATCATACCAAATCACCAATTCGGATTTCATAAAGACCACTTAACTATTGAACAAGTGCATAAAGTCTACCATACGATTAGACAATGCCTTGAGAAGAAGGAGTATTGCTCAGCAGCTTTTATTGACGTTCAACATGCCTTTGACCGGGTTTGCCTTATCGGCCTGTTATATAAAATAAAAAAAAACCTTCTACAGTCTTCCTATTTCCTGATCAAGTCCTACCTAAATGAAAGAATGTTTCAAGTTAAACAACGTAGCGCGAGATCTTCTCTGCATACATGCCACACATGGTCCTTGGCCCAGTGTTGTACAACATCTCCACTCATGTCCTGCCTCAAGCTGACAACTTTACTGTGGTTACTTTCGCGGACGATGCCGCATTTTTAATATCTAGTAGTGATTCAGATGAAGCCAGTAGGTTTCTACAAATCCAGCTCAATCATACCAAGAGTGGTTGCAAAGATGGCGAGTAAAAGCTGCTCAAAAAGCTGCTAAAAGTGCCCCCAAATCGCACCACATCACATCACTTTCACATTAAGAAAGAAGCTGTGCCCAACACTCAAACTTGGTCAGGATCCTCTACCATTATTTTACCAGAGTTTATTTGGACCAACATTATGACATGGAAAAACCAAAGTAAGCACAAACGAAATGAAGTAAATAACCGATTTAAAAACTTCTCGTGGATGATTGGCAGACAATCAACTCTTTTTTAAGCAACAAACTGAGAGTTTATATCTCTATTATAAAACCGATTTAAACCTACGGGATTCAAACTTTGTCTCCAAAGAGCACAAAACAATATCCTAAGGACCATAATTGGTGCAATATGGTTAACACATAATTCAGAAATATATGAGTATCTAAATATGAAGTTTGTCGCTGAAGAAGAGAAACCATACACAGACAACTATGCTGAAAGATTAAAGAACCATCCCAACCCATTGACAAGGTCGCTTTTATTACAAAACCCAATCAATCGGTTAATAAGAGTGAATGCGCTTAGTAACTAAGGAGAGTGAAGGCAGTGGATTTAACTCACCAAAAATTCCAAATACTAGCAAAAAATTGTAGATTGATTGCAAATAATAATACTTAATAAAAAAAAACAAGGTGGTCTAACTAACATATTATTATTGTGCTACCAAGCTACAAAATCTCATCATATGTTATAGATCGTTCCATAATTAGAGACAACAATTTGACAACAGCAAATGTCAAACTACAAAATAATGTGGCCAGATTTTTTAAAATAGTGATGGGCCCGAGTACGATTTTTTAAAATACCGATACCGTTTTTTTTTTTCAAATGTTTTTTTGAAAAATAGATTGCCGGACGGTATAATAGGGATTTTCGAGTACCCACCTGATAGACACCAGACTAATTTTGTAAGATGGGCAGACTCCATGTCAGATCCCCATCAACTGGAATGTGGAATCAGGCAAGGGGGCTGAGCTCAACCAAATTGTTTAACATATATTATGCGAGGGCGCTGGCGCGTGAGCTCAACAACACAATTGTGCTCCATAGATGTTCATATACTTAACGACATTAGTTGCGCCGATGACATGGTGTTGTTGAGCCCATCGATAAGTGCCCTGCACTCCTAGAGGTGTGTGAGGCATATGCTGAAGCACATGGATTGACATATAACGTCAAAAAATTAGTTGTCAGTGTTTCGGACGGGGCAAATAAATGCTTCATTTGTACCGCCTGTGACATTCTATGGGGTGGCGCTAAGGCAAGCTCAGTTTGTGTACCTAGGACATGTTGTTAATGAAGACCTAACGGATGACCTAGATATAGAATGGGAACGCAGGGTGCTCCCGATTCGCATTAACATGCTGGCTCGCAGGTTTGCCAGATGTTCTAAGGAGTCAGAAGTCAAAATAACCTTGTTTAGGGCCTACTGCCAATCATTTTACACCTGCAGCCTGTCCGTCAATTGCACGATCAATTGCAAGTGGCCGGCCGACCGACAACATTGCCTTTCTAAAAAAGACTTGAAGATTATCACAAAAAAATTAACTCGGAGCAATATAAGAGTGGTAGAAAGGGAATTTCCCAATTAAAAGAAAACTCGGTGCTAGTAATCGACAACGCTCCATACCACTCTAGAAAAATTCCCATTCCCTCCTACGAAGTTCCAATTGGAATTGGCGTTTAATTATAATAACAAACAAAAACTGATTTTAATACAATAATGCTGTACTTGGCAGAAATATAACTCTTCACTTCAAATATCTTTTTTATCCGACACTGACTGGTTAATGTGATACTTTAAAAAAAAGTAGAAAAATAACAGTGTTTCCTCCGCATATCAATCACTTGTAGATTCTCCAATAAAATTGAGTTATGATTTCGCCTTTCTTCTTTATTCCATGTTTTATACTTTTAATGATCCAAAACTTTAGGTTTGTGTTAGACTTGTCTAACAACTGACTTTGTGATAGTGAGATACTTTTACCTGAAGAAAAAATATTACAATCTGACTGACAGACATCATTTTTATAGTTATAGAAACCAATACCAACCTTTTCTAGGCTTAAATTATGTTTGACATTCCATCTGTGAAATTGCTGTGAGGGAATTCCAAAGCAGACCATAGTTTCTTGTAAAATAATTATATCAATGCTAATAGGTAATAGTTATACAAATTACTTTTGGTCTTTCGTTAAATACCAGTCGCGGGACTTCACTATTTATGAAATGCAACACTCGAAATGTCAAATCGTTGTCTCTAATTATGGAACAAACTATAGAATAAATTATACACTATCATTGCCCAGTGATACCTGTGCCTACATAACTATGGTTGGTAATAGAGTTTATTTTTCCTACAAAAAGAAAAATAATTATTATACTTACACTTAATGCCTTTACTTTTTTTGACCTCATCATACACACTGGAGTTATTGTTTAAAAATGAGCTAAAGGCAAAAGCTGCAGCAATGTTACGATCCCATCTATATGCTGAATGTAAAGCGAGTGCACCACCCATTGAAAAACCACCTAAAACATTAAATGAGTTTTTATATTATATTTTCCAAACAATCAGTTAATGTGGGATAGCCATGGGCAGCGAATGGGCCTGCTTGATGGAATGCAATTCTTTTAGTATTACAGTGTCCATCATCACCCAATCATGCCAATCCTTGTTATAAAAAACAGTATATTTAATAAAATAAAGCAACACTCCAATAGCTCCAAATTATATATATGGTAAAATGGGTATTAGGAATTACATTATAATTAAGAAGATAGAGCTAGTAGTGTAATTAAGGGGGCCTTGGATTAATTTTGTGCAAAATCTAAATTTAGATTTATAAATAAATATTTACTATTAGTTGTATATTCTGTACCATTCAAATCTCACCAATTATTATTCTGTTACTAGGGATTCCAGCATCATTTTCTTTTTTGATGAGATTCTTCACTTCTGTTTCTATTTCTGCTAGAGAATGCATCTTTTCTGGCACATTAGGACTTATGTCAGCACGATCAAACCATACATTACTCATTTGCCCACCTGCTGGAGTGTATGGCTGCAGTGGTGCAGTTGGGTACAAAATTTTGATATGTGGAAATGAAAAGTTTGACACCATAATTCGCACCCATTCTTTAACATCAGCACCACACGACCCTAACAACATAATTTTAATTAATTTAATGATATATATGCATTATAAACGTAACAAACCCCAAATTGCAATATAAGTAATAAGGCTTCGAAAGTAGCCTTATAAAATTACTAAATAACAGAATTGAAAAAAAAGATTGTTTTAAAATTATAACACAGGTGGAGGAATCCATAGCAAACCATTGAACACAGAAAATAGTGATATTTAACTTTAATACAGATTACAGAATAAGCTTATAGTTTACAATAACAATCACATAATATGCCATTTGTAATCCCAGTTACTGTTTAATCTTACTATCACTAAAGCAAATATCAACTCTATATTGTTATATATTAAAATGAGATAGGTACTTAAAATGATATTACCTGAACCATGGAAAAAAATAACTGTTCCTGTATGCTTCTGCCCCGTGCATTGTGTCAAATGTAAGGCACCAAGTCTTGACATCTTTTTTATAAATTATTTAATAACTGTAATGAGTTTAGGTTAGTGCGTTTTCTTAAAAACTAACTAAACAACGTGCTTATCATGTTGTAAATAAATGATCCCTTTAGGAAAATCTACTAGTAAAACTTACTTCATATAGTAATATAAGTCACTTCCTATCTTGGTACCTACTTATACTTTCAACATAGTGATAATTCCACTTTATAACTCTACTCTTTGGATAATTCTGAAACCACGAATACGAGTGTGACGGGTATACATAGACTGATATTCCGAACTATTATAAGAGAACTCATGCCCTATTACTTAGGGTACCTAACCTCCTTCCTAAACTTTTTGCTGAAAACTAACATGTCATGTCATTTTTTTTTGCCAGTGTCACGTGGTGACGGCAGATTAAATTGACCGTGTCGAATTCGTGGTAGTTGTCATAGACTATACAATATACTACTCTGTCAAGAAAGTACCGGGAAAAAGTCAATAATACATAAAATGTTTGTTATTCATCTTTTGTTTTATCACCTTCAAAGTATGCTCCTTCAGAAACGATACACTTACGCCAACGAATAATCCAATCATCGAAACTTTTTTTAAACGCTGTTTCCGGAATTGAGTTCAGTCCTCGCCGCGAATTTTCCTTTATGTCTTCTAATGATTGAAAACGGGTGCCACGAAGGGGTAATTTGAGTGTGGGAAAAAGAAAAAAGTCGGCTGGAGCCATATCTGGTGAATATGGTGGCTGCTCGATGGTGTTTGTTGAGTGTTTGGACAAAAAATCGTTTACAATGATGGCCTTGTGCGAAGGCGCATTATCGTGATGCAAAATCCAAGAATTTTCTTTCCACATTTCTGGCCTTTTTCGTCGAATTTGTTCTCTTAAACGCCGCATAACGCTCAAATAATATTCTTTATTTACAGTTTGACCTTCGGGCAAGAATTCTGAGTGCACAACACCGCGATAGTCAAAGAAAACAGTCAACATGACTTTGACTTTTGATCGACTTTGACGTGGTTTTTTCGGTTTTGGTTCAGTTGGAAGGCGCCATTCCGAAGCTTGTTGACTAGTTTGCATGTCAAACTCGTAAACCCACGTCTCGTCACCAGTAACAATGCGTTTCATGAATGTTGGGTCGGTATTGACTCGTTCTAGCATGTCCTCAGCGACTTTCATGCGATTTAGTTTTTGAAGAAAATTCAGGTCTTTTGGGACTAGCCGAGCGGCAACACGTTTCATACCCAAATTATTTGTTAAAATGGTACGGATCGACTCGTGAGATACAGAAAGTTCGGCGGCCATCTCTCTCAAACTTGAATGAGGATTTTCAGTCACTATTTCCTTCACTTTTGCGATGTTAACTTCAGTTGCAGACGTTGATGGCCTACACAAAATGCAAATCTTCCCTCACATCTCGACCGCTTTTGAACGCTTTGTACCACTCATAAGCCCGTGTTTTTGATAAATTCGATTCACCGTAAGCCTTCTGTAACATTTTGAGTGCCTCCGAACACGAAATTTCATTGGCGATGCAAAATTTAAGACAAACTCTTTGTTCGATGTTTTTGTCCATTATGAAATTCGCAATACACACTAGATATTATAAAACTAAAAACAGCACTGTTTTTAATATAAATAACAGATGCAACTCAAATTCCGCGCCAAAATGGAAAACAGTTATGCCAATCTAACAACAACAAAAAAAATTAAAATTTGAATTTGGAACCATAAAAGAACATTCATTCCCGATACTTTGTTGACTGAATGTATACTGTAGTTGTTATTATCTGAAAGGACGAGACATTTGTTAGTAAACATTATACGATTCATAAATTGTATACCCAGTTTAATTAAACAAAGACAACCACATGGACGTATAATACTAAAAGCAAGCCATATCTACATTATAATAATTTAGGAAATAAATTGAGACAGGCATTTTATTAGTTTATTAGAAAAGGTAAATAAATAGGTAGTGAAAATTGATTGGGAGAGGGACTTTTAGGGTGTGAAGTTTTTTGTACAGATCGAATGACTGGGAGTTTAGGGAACAAAAGAAGAAAATATAGTCTAAGGATCTCTCATCAAGGCCGCATTCGCACAGTGAGCTGTCACGCACACGGATCTTGTTGAGGAATACCGGTCTACAGCAGAGGCGGAGTCTGAGTCTGCATAAGGACGCAATAGTGTGTCGGGGCAACCTAGGGTATTTACAAAACCAAGGCCTCCGCTGGATGCTGGACTGGATATTTACCCGATTCATTGCCACCTTCATTTTCGTGAACATTTTAGCCAGGCCCCATTCATTGGTCGGTGGCTCAACATTTGAGTCATCGGCCTCCCTGATTGATGACTCAACTGATGAGTCATTGGCTCCTTGTAATGATTTAATGCTTTTCGCCATCATTCAAGCCAGTCTGACCACCAGAATCGTGTTACTGTGTCCTCCTATTCGAATTTAAGAGGTAGTAAACATTTTAATAACCTTTCCTACATGTATTCAATACCTAATTATTATTTGTTTGTTCTATCCTTTCACGGCACCACAGGGTCCCGGACCTTTGGAAGGCGTACGAGGAGCCGAAGCCAACTCGCAGAGGCCTGTTGAACAGTTTTAATCTAAATGTGATGGGACATCAGCCGGCAATCATCCCTGTATGCACTATATAAGTGCACCCAAGGACAATCCCCGGTTGATGCAAGACTCTTGTGAAATGTGGTAAAAATTTATTGGGTTATGAATATGGGTTGCTATGGACTGGTGGATATGATAACTATGGAAATACTATGGCCCCTGCCCCTGACCAATATTGATACATACGGATAAACGGGCAGGGGGTGACTGGCAAACTCAATTAATGGGCCCCCGGAAACGGCCGCTAGCATATAGCGACACGGAGGCAACATACGTTGAGCTGCTTGGGGAAGGAGAGGCATCCCACGGCTATCAGAGCAATCCCGGAAGTACGGCCAAGACCCCTACCAGCACCTTACTGAGATACATCCTTCCCCCGAGTCTCGTTCAACTCCTACTCTTGTGTGTGAATCTCCACTCAAGCCAGCCAATTAACGCAAGAATGAGGTAGGAGGGCTTGTTCTTCATCAGTGTTCACTCCAGCTCGTCACGAGGACTAACCGGAGAGAGAAGATCAAGACACCTCCCGGGAGTCAGGTCCGTGGGGTCGCCACTGCCCAACAGCTCGCCACAAGCTGCCTTGCGGATTTCAATAATTATTTATTATTGTAATATTATTTGTAGATAATCAGGACTACGACGATTTTACTGAATGTAGCCAGGCGATGTTTACTGATTTCCATGATCAACAAAATCAAGATAAGGAAAATCAAGGTTTTCCAAGCTTTAGTTAATCGATTTTACAAAAAAGTATGCCAAAGAAGCGTCCATTCACTAAATCTCGTAAAAGTTGCAATGTAGTTTCTAACAACAGTTCAGATACTAGCATTGAAGACATTTTGGACTCTGATGAAGACGAAGATATTAAAAGAAAAAAAAAAGTATTCATATGAATGAAAATAAAATGAATAATGATATCTCTTAAATAAAAAAAAAACAGAACATGCTTGCTGTGCAGCAAAAAAATATTTTAATGCATTATTCTCTAAGGATTTGACAGCAGAATTGAATACACAAGATGAGTTGCCTCCAATTTATGCTCAATTTGAGCATGACTTAGGCATAATGCTTGCTTTTAGGTTGAGAAGTGTTCTAGCAGACAAACGTTTAGAGTGTTATGATAAACCGATTATGTATTATCTTATTAGAGAAATACCTGTACAAAAAAGACAAAAATATGCCGATAGTATATAAATCGAAGTAGATAGAATGTATAAAAACCGAAGTAGATAGATTTAACTTCACCCATGTGCACATAACATTTCAGCCCATAACGTGTCTGCATACGTTTGACTTAACTATTGAGTCATTGGCCATGAATTGGCCACTTCGGCTTTCGGCTAACAAAAGGTTTATGACATCTGACTATTAAAAATATCCTGTAAAGTGAAGGGCCAGGTCTGATATTCACGGAAATGTTTAATGACATCTGAAAATGGTAGTTTAAGTGTTTTTTTTTAAATATGCGTTTTTATACAATTTTGGTTTGACTCACCAATTGAGCCATAGGCCTTCTTAAAGGTTTTTTAATGACTCAACTGTTGTCAACTCAACTCAGTCATTGGCCATGAATCGATTAAACACCCTTCCGTTTGGAGGACTCTCCCTACTCTGCGCTCCCTACACGCGTTGAACAGCTTGTATTTAGTGTCAGCAAGTAAGTCGTATCCGTATATGACGTCGCTCGACATCGTTCGAGGCTGCAAACCTTGCCAACCGCATGTACCAGTTTGGCCAGGGATCCAGCCGATTTCAACATTTAACCCCTCTGTGTGTGTGTGTCTGTGTGATTTTAATTCCAAGACTAGAGTAGGTACTGTATGTTCGAGAATGGAGTTGATCTTGACTGAGAAACTGTAAACTACTTTAAGTTATTAAGGTTATGAGATTTAATACATTTAAATGATTTTACAATGCCAGCACATTCCCCAGACACAAAAACTGCTGGACGGATTTCAACGAAACTTGGTACTAAGGGTGACAAAAATGCATGGAGAGCTTAAGGTCGACTATTGACTGACAGGTTTTGCATAACGCTACCATTGATAACTAGATGGCGTTGCTTTTAAATGAAAATAACCCTACAAAGCTTGAATACTTTACACTGCAGAGGCACACAATAAGGTTTTTAATGGTTAAAATAATAATTAAGAAACAATTATATATTTATATTCAAAAACACATTAATTATGTTAATTTTCTTATTTCCGAGGACTTAATACAGCGCCATCTAAGTCAAGTCAAGCAAACCAATTAAAAGATGGCGTCAGCAATGAATGATAGACAATAATAAAAGTTATAAACTAACCTGCATCGGTAGCTCGGACGAATAAGAATGATAGAATAATGAAGTCGAAGGGCTCCGGTTCAATTCCGGGTTATCATTTCAGTTCAGGTTTGGTCAATGGTTTTTTTATATAAAATCAATAA